CACAAAGCCACACACAGATGTGAATGCACCTAAATAGCCAGACAGACTTCTATATTCAAGAGACAGACATGATGTCCGAGGGGCTCAAACAGCTGAGCTCTGTGACGCGTCTCAGTCACACTGAGAATATCTCACATCATCCATATCACAAATGTCATGAAACCAAAAAGGTAACAGGCAGGTGCATTTCCTCTTCAGTAAGAGACTTTCTCATGCGGCAAAAAAATATAAGGGGGGCGGCAGCCATTTTGTTCTTGGGTGTTATAGTCAGTGCCCAGCAGCAGCAGTACATGTCACCTGACCCAGCGCCTGCATGAGTGTCCTTGAAGGAGACTCTGACATCAGCACTGACACCCCTGGTTGCCATGGCAACCACAGCACAATGTATGGGGGGGGGGGGGAGAATAATTAATATGCACATATAAGTACTTTGAATCTGAATTTAATTGTACTTTTTGGTGTGTGAAGCTGAAATGGATTGAACGCTGCACCAGAAATGAGAACTATCAGAGAAGGGGCAAAGAGAAGCAAGTTTATTGGTCAGAGAAATAATCTGCACCATCGTCAAGGTTATTTCCATAGTATTTCCTTTCACACAAGAAAGTAACTTCCTGAATGAGACAGTGGAGAGGTGGGCCATGGAGTGGCGATTATCCTCCCTCCAGCTTCTCTTTTACCTCAGCATTATCAAGAATAGTTTACAAAGCTGTGTACAGCCACATAGCATCAATTTGTCAGTCAACTGTTGTTGGCCATGAATCACCTGGAAAAGTATTCATATGCAGCTGAGATATAACAGACAGGAGTGGAGTTTTACTCAGTGAAGATGTAACTAGTTTGATCTAGGAGGCTCAAAGATCATTAAGATAATCTAGTGCACAAACTCACCCGAGTCTGATTTCTCATAAAAACTCTGCCTGTCGCATTATATAGACACAACCGTTACTCACAGTGGCACACAAGCCTGACCTAACACTGTCTCTCTTCTCACACACAATCCCATACAGAGAGTTTTACTTAATATTGTACTTGCTACCTCACTGTCAATAGCATCCAAGTAATTCTTCTGCAAATAAAAAGACTGCAGGCTGCATTGGACAAGTCATATTACAGCCAAATAGAGAAAATTTAGCACCGATGTTTAAAAAAAGGGCCTCTGTTTTAGAATAAGCCAAGACAAGGTGAAAACACTGATATCTTATCTGCATCACACTGCAGAGCTATGTGAAATAGCAGAACGAAAGGTGTTTGGTTAGACTGACAACACAAATATACATGGACACAGTGGCACGCACGCACGCACGCATTATACGCCCTATCAGCGTGCACAGTAAACGTTGCAATGGTCTCATCAATAATGCATCGGCACTTCATGTTTATGCAATTTACAGGGCAAGACCGAGCGATGGATAAACCACTAGATGAAAGCCAGCTGCACACTGAACGTATAGCGTTTTACCAGTCCTTCACAGACATAAAAGTTGAAATCTTTTCCGCCTCCAAAGAAAGAGATTAAGATAATAAAACAGTCCTCAGCACATACCTGTTAACGCACTTCTTTGATTCTGGTTTATGCAGGCTTGAAGGACTTCGTGATAACACCGCACTAAGGAAATAAAACAGTAGCTGTGGTGATATGCAAATTAACGGCTCCAGCCGAATGCAAGGACATTTATTATTCATAAATTACTCATGTTTATGCAAATTACGGTATACGGAAACACTGGTGGGGGTTGAGTGTCTCGTCTGTGTGATTCAATTTCTGTTATGCTGTTCCACATAAAATGATTTAAATCCAGGCATTTGACCAGCATCAACCAGTTCATTTTACTGAAGTTAGTTGGACTCGGGGTGGGAAATGTGGAGATTAAAGATTTTTTAGGGGAAACCTCGAAAACTAGTCGATTATAGACCGTTAGTGGATTTTGTGGATAAATTCTGTTGTTCTATGGTTTGTTGGCACAAAAAGTTTCTTAACCCTGGGCTTTGGCAGGGGGGTGGGGTGA